TCGATCTCTTCCTCCAACTTTCCATCACTAGTAAATACACTTCCGAGGTACTTGAACTTCTCCACCTGCTCCCCTGCCTCTCCGTTAATAATAATAATAAGTGTATGCGCAGTTTTTGCCTCTTTAACTCGAAGTTGTTTTAAAGACCTTGTATTGTATGAATTTAAACGGTACTGATCGTGCACTGTATATAAGCTGTTTAGCTTCCGATGAATTCAAAGTGGATATTCCGATCGACGACGAGCAGCGGATTGGCGCCGTTTGTAAAAGGTTCAACGAGCAGCTAATATTTTCTCCGTGTGATACGCGTAAGTGTAGCTTTTGCGCATTTCACATTTCGTAGCCAGTATAAAATATGAATTAAATAAATAAATAAATGTTGTATAAATATAGGAATAAATTCATATAAAATACTTATGACGAATCGCTCTTTCAAGAGCAAAGTTCACATTGTATTGCATCGGCCACTTGATCTTAGTTGCGTATACGGGCCGTTTAAGCAGGCCACTCTCTGTGGTATTTCAGCACCTGCAGTGCCAGAGGCATCTCGTATCATTTTGTTCGTTAGAGCCCTCTCTTCCTCATCACAAGCGATGTTTCAAGAACTGGTACTTCTTGCATGCTACGACATAACATGAAAATATGTTCGTGCTTCGAAATTTTTCACACTGCAATATTCCCTCCAGGACCAAACGTTGTTTGTAATGAGTGCGAGGTGTCTTTAGTGAACAAAGTGATGCGATGTTCATGTGGTACTGCTCAAATACCATGGTGTTGAACTGTTCAAATACCAGTGTTATCTTCTGCCTAAATTGCTGTTGTAAACAACTAAGATCTAGGGTCGTTGCGATACCCCATTACATCTAGTCTTTGAGTTATTCGCTGTCTAACAAACGTGTGGCTTTGATGTTATACTTTGTTGGAAGCTTAAAAGTCATCCATCTTATGGTGTTTCAGTATCGAATAAATATTCTGTTTATTAGACATTGCCTATACGGTGAGGGATCCAGTGTTCAACGCCACCTTTCCACCGTTTCCCGCTAGAGGCTTCGCCAACAGCATTACGATCAAGTCCAGGTGCTATGACGCTCATCTGGTCATCGACGGTGGAATGTCTTACATCTTTAATGACGGCGCTAAGGCTGAATTTCGTATTTTTCCTCAAGATGCTCTGCGAACGGTCGCCTTTCGATAATGGCGAACGGTCCTCCTGAACTAGCTGTTGAGTACTACGTCTAGCATTGCGTTAATCAAGCAACGATAGCTAACGAGCTGCTGTGAAATGACAGTAATAACTGATTGTTGGGCTGCAGGAAGCCGAAGAGCGCCCTGTAACATTGTCTGTCACCCGTCTGATCAGCGAAGTCATTCTAGCAATGCGACAAATGGTCAGCATCCGTATTTCGGTAAGAAGACGATGACAGTTGCGTTGTCGTCAGTGAGGTACGACACGTTGCATTTTGGTATAGCAGATAATAGAAGCTATTAAGTAATATGATGAAAACGTTGCTAGTCGTCGAATGGCTGATCTTTGCAAAACAGCACCGCGAAAATTCAGTGTTCTGTTTCGCCTTGAGTGTTAAATAGGATATTTTGTGTATTTTTGTTTTCTTGCCGTTTTTTTGCGGGATATTATGTACAAAAGTTGTTGAAATGTGTTGGTTATTTTTAAATTTGAGGGCGGCTAATGGTTTTAAACAGTACTTCAGGTTTTTGATTCTGGCTAATGGTTTTGTCTTAATTGATGCGTTCTTCTCATGCAAACTGAAAATAAATAAAGGCGTACACTATTTATTAAACTGTGTATAAAAAGATAGTATAACTTTGTGAGTACCACTATTATTAATTGCTAAAGAAAGCTGTATGAAATGCTTTTTGCTTGGCCATATATCCTCTGAATGCAGGAGAACGTCCTACGGTCAAGAAGGACGGAGGACCTGAACAGTTACTGATTGACATCAGGATAATGAATGAAAATAACATTCTTAATGTCTGCGTGATCAAGAAGACAAAATCTGTTATACAATTGCGTTTCTGTCATCATTCTTATCAATGTAGTATCAGATGTATTTTGTCATAAAATGTCTGGCTTGTGACACAGAAGGATGTTGCTTACTAATTTCGGAATATCTCCTTAAGGACTCCTTAGTGCAGCACCACTAAGAAAAGACTAACAACAAATTACTCATGGGTTTAGCCATTTGAAAAGGAGATCGGACGAGTTTTTAGAAAATCTGGTGCCGAAAATTGTGTAGAAAAGAGAAGAACGCCCGAAGACAAATGAAATAGCCACAATATTTTCAAGAACAATTTCAAAAATTGTAGGAATTAAGATGTACAATCAAGAATTCATGAACAATTTCAAGAAACGGCAGAAAGTTGCCAAAAATTTGACCAGTCGCCAAACTTTGTGGAGGAAATTCACTTGTTGAATCACCGTTTTTTTCGATTTTGTGCGCTTTGCTGGGTCTCTTCTACTATCTTGCTACCTTTCATTTTAAATTTAAACCGCTATTTTTTTTGCTTTTCCTTCCTTCGTTGATTGATTGATTGATATCTTCAGAGGTCATGTTGACTGCATCAAAAGGCGAAAAACCAAAATCATGTTCATTATGCGGATGTTCGAGATATACATTTAACACTTATGTACAAACGAGTTTATTTTCTATCACAGTTCGACTGTCCAGCAGCAAAGAATAGTCACGGTCATACACAGCGATCAAAGTACGACGGCATCCAAACACGAGTCTGGCAAAGTAGCATCCCTCGTCTCTGGCATAAGCAAAACGAGGAAGGCAGATAGCAGCGAAAACAGACCGAATACCATCGACGGGTACCTTGCAAAATGGACCATGGACAAGATCCTCATGTAAGAGGCGATGCCGACACCAATGCAGGCTACCATGGAGCAGATGCCTACGGCTGAGTTTCGAATGACCGTCGGAAACAACTCCACGGTAAAAAGGCAAAGAGTGTATAGCGAAGTCATGGCCAACGTTTTGGCCAGCAGGGCCAAGAAAAAATTCATGACCGTGTACCTCGGTGACGAAACCGAA